CCATATTAGGGAAGTTTTCAACTATAATCTCTTCAAATATTTTCTCAGTCTCTTTCTTTTTCTCTTCTTCTGGAACCCCTATAATTCAAATGTTGGTGCGTTTAATGTTGTCCCAGAGGTCTCTGAGACTGTCCTCAGTTCTTTTCATTCTTTTTTCTTTATTCTGCTCTGCAGTAGTTATTTCCACTATTTTATCTTCCAGGCCACTTATCTGTTCTTCTGGCTCAGTGATTCTGCTCTTGATCCTATCTAGAGTGTTTTTTATTTCATTTATTGTGTTGTTCATTGTTGCTTGTTTCATCTTTAGTTCTTCTAGGTCCTTGTTAAATGTTTCTTGCATTTTCTCTATTCTATTTCTGAAATTTTGTATCATCTTTACTATCATTATTCTGAATTCTTTTTCAGGTAGAGTTCTTATTTCCTCTTCATTTGTTAGGTCTGGTGGGCTTTTATCTTGCTCCTTCATCTGCTGTGTGTTTTTGTGTCTTCTCATTTTGCTTATCTTACTGTGTTTGGGGTCTCCTTTTTGCAGCCTGCAGGTTCGTAGTTCCCCTTGTTTTTGGTGTCTGTCCCCAGTGGCTAAAGTTGGTTCAGTGGGTTGTGTAGGCTTCCTGGTGGAGGGGACTAGTGCTTGTGTTCTGGTGGATGAGGCTGGATCTTGTCTTCCTGGTGGGCAGGTCCATGTCTGGTGGTGTGTTTTGGGGTGTCTGTGGACTTATTATGATTTTAGACAGCCTCTCTGCTAATGGGTGGGGATGTGTTCCTGTCTTGCTAGTTGTTTGGCATAGGGTGTCCAGCACTGTAGCTTGCTGGTCATTGAGTGAAGCTGGGTGTTGGTGTTGAGATGCAGATCTCTGGGAGATTTTCACCATTTGATATTATGTGGAGCAGGGTGGTCTCTCGTGGACCAGTGTCCTGAAGTTGGCTGTCCCACCTCAGAGGCAGAGCACTGACTCCTGGCTGCAGCACTAAGAGCCTTTCATCCACATGGCTCAGAATAAAAGGGAGAAAAAGTAGAAAGAAAGAAAGAAAGAGGTTAAAAGAAAATAAAATAATGTAAGGTAAAATAAAATAAAGTTATTAAAATAAAAAATAATTATTAAGAAAAAAAGTTTTTTAAAAAGTAAAAAAAACAAAAAAAAACACGGACGGAAAAAACCGTAGGACAAATGGTGAAAGCAAAGCTATACAGACAAAATCTCACACAGAACCATTCACATACACACTCTCAAAAAGAGGAAAAGGGGAAAAAATAATAAATCTTGCTCTCACAGTCCACCTCCTCAATTTGGGATGATTCATTGTCTATTCAGGTATTCCACAGATGCAGGGTACATCAAGATGAATGTGGAGATTTAATCTGCTGCTCCTGAGGCTGTTGGGAGAGATTTCCCTTTCTCTTCTTTGTTTGCACAGCTCCTAGGGGCTCAGCCTTTGGATTTGGCCCTGCCTCTGCGTGTAGGTCGCCGGAGGGCATCTGTTCTTCGCTCAGACAGGACGGGGTTAAAGGGGCTCTAGCTCACTCAGGCCGGGGGGAGGGAGGGGTACGGAGTGTGGGGCGAGCCTGCGGCGGCAGAGGCCAGCGTGACTTTGCACCAGCCTGAGGCACGCCTTGCGGTCTCCCAGGGAAGTTGTCCCTGGATCCCGGGACCCTGGCAGTGGCGGGCTGCACAGGCTCCCCGGAAGGGAGGTGTGGATAGTGACCTGTGCTCGCACACAGGTTTCTTGGTGGTGGCAGCAGCAGGCTTAGCGTCTCATGCTCGTCTCTGGGGTCCGTGCTGTTAGCTGCGGCTCGCGCCCATCTCTGGACCTCCTTTAAGCAGTGCTCTTAATCCCTTCTCCTCGCACACCAGGAAACAAAGAGCTCACCTTCAATTTTGAAGGATAGTTTTAACAAATACAGTATTCTTGGTTTACAGTTTTTTTGTTTTTCTTTAGCACTTTGAATATATCATACCAATTTTTTGTGAACTACTAAGTTTCTCCTGAGAAATTGCTGAAAATTTTATGTGGGCTCCCTTGTATGTGACAAGTTGCTTTTTTTCTTGCTGCTTTCAAGATTCTCTCTCATTGTCTGCAACTTGATGATTTGATTATAAAAGTCTTGATGTAAATCTTTAGGATTTATCCTCTTTGGCATCATTGAGCTTCTTGAATTTGGACGTCCATTTTCTTCCTCAAATTTGGGAAGTTTTCTGCCATTATTTCTTCAAATAGGCTTTTTGCCTCTTTCTTCCTCTCCTCTCCTTCTGGCACTCCCATTATGTGTACACTGACCACTTCATGATGTCCTATAAGTCCATTAGGCTATCTTAACTTTTCTTCATTCTTTTTTCTTTTTCGTTTTTCATTCTCCTCTGACTCAGTAATTTTAAATGACTTGTCTTCAAGTTCACTGATTCTTTCTGCTGCTTGATCAAATCTGGTGTTTAACCCTTCTAGTGAATTTTTCGGTTTTTATATTTTATTCTTCAGTTCCTGGATTACTGTTTTTTTTTTTCTTTTTCTTAAAATTAGTTTCTGTCTCTTTGTTGATATTCTTATTTTGTTCATGCCTCATTTTCCTGATTTCATTTAGTTGTCTACCTCTGTTCTCTTTTAACTCATTGACCATCTTTCAGGTGGTTATTTTGAATTCTTTGTCAGGTAATTAATAGATTTCTATTTCTTTAGGATTGGTTTCCAGAGATTTATCTTGTTATTTTGGTTGGGCCTTGTTTCCTTGTTTCTTTGTTTACTTTGTGATCTTTTGTTGAGACTCGGGCATTTGAAAAGACAGCCACCTCTCCCAACCTCTGCAAACTGGCTTTGTGCAGGGGAAGACCTTCACCCATCAGCCTGGGTAGAGATTTTGCGGGGGGGCCCTCATGTCTTTTGTGAGGATGTTTCTCTTTGGGGCTTGTGTGTGTAATTTTCCAGTTAGAAGTTTTGCCCTGTTATCAAGAGCTCATATTCTCTTGCTCTCCCTGGTGTCTGTTTGTGGTACTGCAGATTCTTTGGTGCTATAACAAGCCACCATGCTTGCTTCTGTTCTTAGCAGCCCCCAGACATCCAAAGTATGCTGCTGTTCCCTTCAGCCTTCTGAGTCAGGCAAGGCAGAAACCAGTTCCTTGGACAGCCCACTGTAAAGTCAGAATGTTAGCTGTACATTCCGCTCTTTTCTTTCCTTCCAAGGAGAAGCCAGGAGACAGGGTTTTTTTCCTGATTGTGGTGCCCTGTGCTGGGTGGATGAGGACTGTGGCAGGTAAATGCAGCAAACATTCTTGTTCACTTCAGTGTGGCTCTGCTTGGCTTTGTACTCGCCTGGGGTGCTACAGTCTCTTAGCTGGTTTATGCACTTCTCATAACGGCAACTTCACCCATAAGTTGGGGTCTCTGTGGGGGATTGAGGGCCTGGGGCTTCCTATCCTGCCATCTTTATGACATCACTCTCAAGTGTTATTCAAATCTTTGCTTTATGAAATGGAGATAATTAATATTGGTAGAACTTTTTTTATTATTTTTAATAAATGTATTTATTTATTTATTTATTTTTGGCTGTGTTGGGTCTTCGTTGCTGTGTGCAGGCTTTCTCTAGCTGTGGCGAGTGGGGGCTACTCTTTGTTGTGGTGCACTGGCTTCTCATTGCGGTGGCTTCTCTTGTTATGGAGCATGGGCTCTAGGCGCATGGGCTTCTGTAGTTGTGGCACATGGGCTTCAGTAGTTGTGGCTCGCGGGCTCTAGAGCTCAGGCTCAGTAGCTGTGGCACACAGGCTTAGTTGCTCCGCGGCATATGGGATCTTCCCGGAGCAGGGCTCAAACCCATGTCCCCTTCATTGGCACGTGGATTCTTAACCACTGTGCCACCAGGGAAGTCCCATTATTGGTAGAACTTTAAAAGGTTAGTGGCACATACAATCTGTCTCACCTCCTCTTCTAATCAAAGATTAAAGAAGTCGTTCCAGGCTTCTTTCCTGTCTCTGTCTGTCTATCTCTCTTTAGTAATGGTGGCTAACATATAATAAGTTCCTTACTTTGTGTCAGGAACTGTTCATGTTCCTGTTGTATGTATTAATTCATTTACTTCTGACACTTGTAAAAGGAAGATACTATAATTATTCCCAATTTTCATGGGAAGAACCTGAGTTAAGGGAATCTAAGTAATTTACCTGAGGTCATACAGCTGATTATTGTCTCATACTCAATTTTAACAAGACATTTTGTAGCATGGAATGAGAAATATATATATATATATATATATATATATATATATATATATATATATATATATATATATAAATACATATATATATATATATATTTACTTAGAATAAGTTAAATTTATTTATTTTGGGTCAGGTAGAGATTATTAAAGTTTGTTGACTGTCCTATTACAGTTTGATCATTGAATTATTTGTTAGGTATAAATAAAAATTCTGTGTTCTGCAGTTTTTATAATCAGAATAATGTACCCATGTGTTTTCTCTTCTTTCCAGCTTTATTGAGATGTAAGTGACATGTGACATTGTGTGAGTTTAAGATGTAGTGTAATGATTTGATATATGTATATATTGTAAAATAATTATTACAATAAGGTTATTTAACACATCCTTTACCTCACATAGTTACAGTCTGTGTGTGTGGTGAGAACTTTTAAAATCTACTTTCTTAGCAACTTGAAATGAATAGTCTTTAATTTGAATATAATACGTTGCTTATATTATATAAACTGGAAGTCTCCTTTTGATAAAATCTTTGTTGTAATAGGCAATTATTGAATTATTATGGATATTATTTTGTGTTGATTATAAGTGGTAATAATGCTGTTGGAAATCCCTATAATTTAAATATTCAAATATAGAATGACACCAAAGGTGACACCAATGACACCAAACGTGTGTGTGTGTGTATATATATATATATATATATATATATATATAATTTTTTTTTTTTAATTTTTATTGGAGTATAGTTGCTTTACAGTGTTGTGTTACAAAGATGTATATTTTTGTTTTTTGTAGGACAGAGTTCATTCAAAAAGGCAGGATTTCAATCACAGGGGCTGGTTTTCTCAACTGCGTTTTGGAAACTTTTGCTAGCACATTTTTAAGACAGGGTGCCCAGAAGGTAAGCTTCTTTTCACTTTGAAGCAACATTAATTTTAAGAAACCATGGAGATTCCCACTGGGTTCTTGAACAAGGCTCATGAACAGACAAAACAAGAAAAATATACAATTAATAAATATTTGCAAAGATAATTACCCTCACTAATTATTACATAAATCCAAAGCAAAGTAAAACTAAAGTGCCATTTGTGGCTCATTAAGTTAAAAACATGCCAATGAAGAATATGTGATAATATGGGAATACTTATAGTCTAATAAAGAGAAATAATCAGAATGAATAATTATATTTACTGTATATACAATGTGATGACAGCTATTTAGTAAAAAAGATAATAATAGCTAATATTTATGGAGTTCTTACCATGTGCTACTCACTAAAAAGAATGTTTAATCATTAATTCATTTAATGCTCACAAACCTTGGAAATAGCTGTTATTGTTGTCCTGATATTCTGGACAAAGAAGACACAGAGTTCTGGAGCTCCTGATTGTCTTTTATTGTGGTTTTCAAGCTCTATACTTGTGGGAGCTTAGGCTTCCATGAATGTTATTCAGAGGCCACCTTGAAGTTCTAAGGTCTTGTGTTACCCTGTGTTTTAAGTAGTGCTATTCTTTTTTTCATCTGTTTTATATAGCATTACATATGAGATTGATATATCCTGTTTTCTTGCCTAGGGAAGTCCATTTCTTATGCACCTTTGTATGCCTATTGTAGGTGTTCCAAAATATTTTAAAATTATTTTATTAGTATTTGTTTTAGTTATTATATTTAAGAATTATTTGTCATTATTATTGTTATTAATTATGTTGGTGAACATAATCACTTATTTCCAGGGTTTACTCAGGTATGATGCATATGTTACCTAGTTTTGTTTTGTGGGACAAGCTTAATGGCTGGTCTAGAGAACTATTGTTATGACCTTAGATTTTATGGGTAATAGATCTTGGTTCTCGTTTTACAGATCTAGGTTCAAGAATGAACCTGGACCACAATGTGTTGATCTGGGAGGCTGAGGGTGATGGATGAATATTTGATACTGTACTGTACTCCATAGACATACTGTCTGGATTGATGATGTGTTCCTGACCCTGGTGAGCACATCGCCAGGCCGGCCCGGCCTGTTTAAGCCTGGGCTTGAAGTGGATAGCTGAGCTTCTGAAAGGTCTGATGTGACTGTCACTTACTCAGACATTATTGCGGGTTTACCCTGCTATCTTGCAAAATATGCATTTGTAAAAAGCCCCATCTTCTGCAAAATTGCACTCTAAAAATAATAGTGCTGATGAGAAAAATAACTTTGGTGCTATGTCCCTGACTGAGTTGACTTCTTGGACATTGTTTGTTTGTTTATTTATTTATTTATGGGTGCACCACGTGGCTTGCAGGATCCTAGTTCCCCAACCAGGGATTGAACTGGAATCTTTGCAGTGGAAGTCAGAGTCCTAACCACTGGACCACCAGGGAATTCCCAGGGACATTGTTTAGATTAAAAGTGGCAAAGTTTTTCTGTAAAGAGCCAGATAGTAAATTTGTTAGACTTTGTGGGCCAATAGGCAAAATCAAGATACTGTGTAGGTGCTTTGTAACAAGAGAGAACCAAATGTGCACACAGTTTTTTTTGACAAAATTAAAATTATAATAATAGTAATTTTTTACAATAAAAGTCTACTAAGCTTATAATTCTTAAAAGAATGGAATTCTTTTTTGGGGGGAGCTAACATTTACCTGAGTTGGGGTTAAAAATGAGTATTCCCTACCATCAAATTGGTTGCAAATGTTCATTTGTAAAAACCATTGTTATCTTGTGGACCATACAAACACAGGTGGTGGCTGAATTTGGCCTGTGGGCTATAGTTTGCCAGCCCTTGCTTTAGATAAATAAATATTGTTTGTTTAATCCGAGTGGGTCTCTGTTTGACCTGCCCATCATTCTGAACCTTTTAATGACTTTTAATCACACAGTGATTGTGTACATTCTGATTCTGTGAGATACATAAAGAGACACTATTATTCCCATTTTATTGATGAGAAATGTCTTGAAGAGGTAAGTGCACCCAGTCTGTAGGTGGCTACTTGCCCAGAGTCCTTCCTCTTGCAGATATATTTTGAGTACCCGCTTTGTGGGAGGCACTGTGTTGAGTGTGGGCTAAATGGATTTACTTAAGGTCACAGGACTGGCAAAGGGTGGAGACTGGACTCACATCCCCATCTTTTATCTCTTACTGTGCCACTCACTGTTAAAGATATGTTCAGGTGAATGAAGCAGAATGCTAGCCAACTCAGCATCATGTTGTGCTTCAGATGAATTTGTGTTGTGGTCCTACTCCCTCTGTATTTATTAGGGCTCTTTGGTTGCAAATAACAGAAACTACCTTAGGCTAGCTTGATATAGAGCTACAAGGGTGGTGAGGCTGACAGGCTTCAGAATGGTCTGCCCTGGAACTGAGAGCTACCAGGAACCCAGGTGGCATTCCTTCTTTAGCACTTGTCCATACGAATATGCATCGGCTTTATTCTCTTCTTATACAGTCTGGCTTTCTCTGCTTCACAGGCTGTATAGTGTGAAGTGGGCCTCCGCAGTCCAAGTGTAGTTATGTAGATTTCTGGCGAACAGAGAGACTGCTTATTTCTTCCTTTCCAAATTCTCTGGAAGGAACTCTCAGTGGCCTTCTATAGGTCAAACATGGCCAGGAGGGGAGAAGCCAGGTTGTGTAAATATGGCTAATCCTATGTCACAACTACGTGGATCAGCGTTAGGGTGTTAGTTCCCAGGGAAAGGGGTGGTAGAATGGGTAAATACTCCTAAAGTTTTCTGACATGGTCTTAACAGTAGTACTAGGCTCTTGATGACAGAGAGACAGTTTTATTCATCTTACACCCAGTTCCCCCAACCATAGTACCTAGGACAGTGCTCAGTACATAACGTGGACATGAGTAAAAAGGAAATAGAATGCACAGCAAGGTCCACAGCTGGTTTGTGGTGACTTATCTGGAAAACATCAAGTGACTAAATTTTTAAAGTGAGTAATCCAGGTGATTCCTCTGAATTCCCACTTATTTATGCTCAGAAGGAAGAATTTATTTTTCCTGCTAGCTTTTGCCTTTTCTGACTTTACTTTTTTTTTTTTTTTTTTTAAAGAGGCTTAGTTTAATTAGTTAGCTTTTCAATTTTAGGAGCCACTCATGCTTAAGTGTCTTTTATCTTTTACCCAAGTGGTGATGTTTTCCGGTATCAGCCTGACTTCCTGATAAACCTTCACAGCTGAGCCTGATTAAGTGGTTTCTGTAGAAGTCATCGTTAGAGTGTTTTAGGTGACTTTATTTTCAGTTTAGAACTTTTTCCCGGAGGCTGTTTAGTGGGGACGTTACCAAAGTGATCCTTGGACCATAGCTCAGCAGAAGCCCCCTGCCTTGGTGGTGGCGAAGGTTCTTTTTCCATTTGGATTCAGACAGCCAATAATGAAACCGATGCTGTGACTGAAACAGCACAGATTTTATTCAATGGCTAGAGAATGGAGAAGCATGAAATTAGTTCGCAAGTCAACTTCTGGGGGTGGGGAGTTGATCAAGGCAAGATTTTGAAAGGCAGGGTTAATGGTGGTGGTGGGTGCATATGCATTGGTTTTCTGGGAAAAGGCAGGGTTCTTCCTGCAACTGGGTGCCACTTCTTTTTCTTCCTTCTGTGGTCCGGTACTTCCTGTCATGGCACTGGTAGGTGTGTCATTCAGCATGATATTGTTATCATGAGCATATAATGAGGCTCAGGGTCTACTGGAGGTCAGGTCTTCCACCTTCTTGGATTTGACTCGTTCTAACCAATTCTGGTGGCCTCTTGTTTTTCTGTTCTGGCGGTTTCCTGGAAGACAATATAACACTTCCCTTCCTTCAAGAAAGAGGGCAGGTTAGAGCTTGAGGCTAATAGTCATGGTAACAGTGGTGAAGGTGGGATTTTTTTTTTCCCCAGAAAAAGAAAAACTAGGTGCTCACTAAGTATATATATATATACATATATATATATATGTGTATATATATACACATCTGTGTGTATAAATTAAAACCTAGTCCTAGATATGGAACCCCAAGGTGATATTGAAAATGTGCAACCCAGACTGGGACTTGAACCCACGGTCATTTTTTTTTTTTTTTGGATATTCATTCTACTTTAATGATTTTAATTGTGCCCTATGTGACCACGGGAGAGAAGGAGATTAATCTTGAGATGTTATGGAATGCCTTCTTATTTATTTACTTTTTTAACATCTTTATTGGAGTATAATTGCTTTACAATGATGTGTTAGTTTCTGCTTTATAACAAAGTGAATCAGCTATACATATATCCCCATATCTCCTCCCTCTTGCATCTCCCTCCCACCCTCTCTAGTCCACCCCTCTAGGTGGTCACAAAGCACCGAGCTGATCTCCCTGTGCTATGTGGCTGCTTCCCACTAGCTAGCTATTTTACGTTTGGTAGTGTATATATGTCCATGCCACCCTCTTACTTCTTCCCAGCTTACCTTTCCCCCTCCCCATGTACTCAAGTCCATTCTTTACGTCTGCGTCTTTATTCTTGTCCTGCCCCTAGGTTCGTCAGACCTTTTTTTTTTTTTTTTAGATTCCATATATATGTGTTAGCATACGGTATTTGTCTTTCTCTTTCTGACTTACTTCACTCTGTATGACAGACTCTAGGTCCATCCACCTCACTACAAATAACTCAATTTCGTTTCTTTTTATGGCTGAGTAATATTCCATTGTATATATGTGCCACATCTTTATCCATTCATCTGTTGATGGGCACTTAGGTTGCTTCCATATCCTGGCTATTGTAAATAGAGCTGCAATGAACGTTGAACCCACGGTCTTTTAATTGAGATCGCACACCTGGTCTCAGGACTTAATGAAACTCAGGTTCTTGATTCTTGTCACAGAAAGAATTCAGTGAGAGACAAAGTGATAGGTAAGAAGTGGATTTATTTGAGAGAAATGCACTCCACAGACAGA